CTCTGGTCAGTAGATAAAGGTGCTGCAGAATCAGAACCAGCTGATTGTCTGGTTGACATTAATCTTGGATCTTCATATCGAACTGATGGTCTCTGCCTCCCTCCATCATCCAGATGTGACCTCAGCTGCAGATGTTGGAGCTGCTGGATCAGTTTGTGAACTTTCTGCCTCTAATTCCACTGTTGCAGGATGTATATGGAGCCACATGTAGGTTGTGTGTTTTAAATGCTCGTATGGACACGCAGCCCGCCTGCATATAATCCAATCCTTTTAAAGTAGTTCATACAAGCAATTATGGCCCCGTGGATAATGTCCCACTAATCTTGAAGGGAGGCGGAGGCCGATTATCCCTTTCTGAGGCTGATGTTTTCTCCTTCTCCACAGCGGGATCAGCTCGTTACTCTGCTGCCCAGAAATGTCTTTTAATGATTACTGAATTAACTTTTTATCTCCTGCCGTCACTAATGGACAGATTCCTCCAAACCGTCCTCTCAGAAGTCTAACCGGATTCCATCGGCCTTATTACGGCTCAGATATTGTGCCGGTCTTGGCCCGAAGCTCAGATTACCCTCCGACTTATTGTTAATGGAGATCAGCGAGTGGTCGCTAAGTGCCGGTGTTTAGCTGTCCGACCCAAAGCCGCCGACTCTCCGCACTTGTTTGTTTTGTTTGAAAATTGCTTCTTAGAGTTTGATGGTAAAGCTGCTGTGATACACTTTCTATCAAGGCCTTTAATCATCCGTCCTGCAGGCGGACCAGGTCAGAGGTCGCTGCTAAAAGGCTCTAATGCATCCAGCTGAGAGCAAATATTCTGCCACCGACACTAATGTGGCCTCTGAGCCGACCTCCATCAGCACATCCTGCCTGATCTGGACATATTGCACTTTACATCTTTATTTTTACCCCACAGCTAAGTTTGCTCTTCATCAAACTTCTTTAGAACAACAGCAGCAGAGCTGCACCGATCACACAGCTGGCTGTCCACCATGAATCCACTCAGCAGATATCAGTTTAGTTTCCCATAGAAGTCTACATTCACAGCAGAGGGGACGTCTTCAGTCCAACCCTCAGGAGACGTTCAGTTTAAACCCGAGCAGCAGCTCAGCACCACAAACTGGAACACTTGAGTTCAGACAGTGAGTCAAACCATCACTGATGATTGGTTCTCTTGCGGTCTCACCGCTGCAGCACGAACATGAACCCTGAGCGTCTGAAGCCTCATGTGTTCATCAGAAACACTGTCCCTTCACGACAGAGCTGCAGCTGTAAGCTGTTGAATCACCTCTGTGGATTCTGACCGATCCATCAGCTTGAGGTACTGGTGAACAGAACCAGTCTGAACTCTTCTCCCGTGTGAATGTGTTCTGGTTCCTTTCCTCCTCAGTGACAGGAAGCTGAAGATCTTTGGACAAAACAAGACATTTGAGGAAACTCTGATCCACGTCTTTACCATTTTCCAAAAAGCCGATGGATTCATCCAGAAAACAATCAGCAGCCTGATGGACAGCAGCTCAGACACTCAGAGAGGAACCACCGGGTTCAGACGGTGGATCAGAACCACAGTCCAGACGTAATGAAACCAGCTGACACACTGACTGAGCTTTAATAAACACACTCAGGTGGTTCTGCATCTGTCCACGGCTGCAGTCGGACTCCAAACATGCTCTTGTTGATAACGGACCTCAGAGGAGGTTCATCTCGTCTTTAATCCTCCACGTTGACGTTTCCGTTGGGGAAATCACAGAACATCTGAGCCGCTGCACAGATTAAATCAGACAATGAGGAGAAATTCTCTGTAACTTAATAAAGTGATGAAGAGCAGAGGATGAACCTGATGACCTCACATCACCTCACTGCAGACACACAGAGCAGCTGCTTCACTTCAAGGCATCAGTGTCTCTGTAGTTCATCAATGCTCCACCTTCAGAGAAACAAGCAACATGGACATGGAGCTTCCTGCAGCTTCACAAGGAACCTGAACTAT